AGAACTTGTCTATGATAAAAGAAAGGTCCTTACTTTTTAAAGTTATTCCTATTAAATCCTATGAAAAATGTGATTTAAAAAATATACTTTTAAGTGGCTAGAAAACATTCTTCACTAGTTTCAGCATAAAAAAAAGATAATTGGGAGGAGCCAATTTCAATGTGAGGAGTTTTTTGAACTTACAAAGATACCACATTTTATTCAAACCTTATAGAAGATAATAGCCAGGTAGGTGATCTTATTTGGTTTGCATTTATAATAAAAAATACTTTGCCACATCTTTGTCTCAATATGTATAACCATTTTTTATATGTAGTATAATGTCTTGCTTAAGAAAAAAATATGTTCAAATATTTCTTCTTTGTACTTTTGAATCCATATGTTCTATTTTGAGCTACTACACAAGAGATCCTAGGGCATGTTGTTGTTAATTTGTATATGAGATTTTGTATCCTAAGAGCTAATTGAGGCTATATTGGAATTATTAAATTAATTCATGATACCAAAATGTATGTTATGTGAGATGGTGTAGTTGTTTTGTAGGTTGTAATGGATCCAAAGGGCATTGAAGTGATGTCATGTAGAAAAAATCCTTAAGAAATTGTATAAGGCATGTTTGTACATCTTTATAAGTCCAAAGCTGCACAAATTATATATACCATTCTCAGAGGCTTCAACTCTCTATTTCTCAATAGATAAATTTCTAGTAAGATGCAACCATTGTATAGCTGCAATCTTGCAAAAAAAAGTACAAGTTTTTGAATCCTTTAAATTAGAAGCCTTTTTTATTTTGAAAATATCTATGTCTCTTGAGATTGTGTAGTCTTTACATAGTAATGTTGGTTTTGGATAGGCTAACTCAATAGCCTTATTTTATTATATACTAGAAGTAATTACATGTTTTAAGACTGCCGAGCTTAGTCCATTGTCAATTTCAAGGATAATATGCCAAGTGATTGATAAAAACCGTATTATAGAGCCATAACCTATCTTTTATAATATAGGCCTTGGAATCAAAAGAGACAACTTTATCTTTTATATCAAATGTAAAATGAATTTAAACATGATGAAGGATTCTTTGAAGGAGCACTTGTAAGCTTGCATCATTTGACATTATTTCCTTGGAGTGTAGTACCTAGAATACATAGCATAGTCAATCTAGGCATACTTATTGTTCAACAAGGTATACAATGCAAATGCTTGATGTAGTTGAGATGATCTAATTATAAGATTTGAATAAGTTTGTACAAGATGGCATCTAAAAAATAGCTTAAAGAAGTGTTGGCTACTACAAGGTAATTACGTGTGAGCCAATGGCTATTTTGATAAAAAGCTTTAATAAGCCATTGTCTAGAAAGTTGATAAAATACATGCTTAATTTGGAACTCTTATGTATTTATGGAAGTAGAGTAAGTAGAATCAAATATAGCTCTTGATGCCTAACATATTAATTGATTGCCAAAAAATAATTGTTTGAGTATATCTATAGCATGAATTGAAGAGATATGTTTTAGATCCGATTTTATTGAAAGCCATATCTAGAAGGTTGTTCTTTGTAGAGAGGAAGATCTACAAAGAAGGAAGAAAGAAAGAAGGGAAGAAAGATGGAAGGAAAGAGAGGAAAACAGAGGGGTACATCATGTTGAGATCCAATAAAGGTGATGTGGCTATCTTCCCACCTTGGTGGATCTAATATGACCAAAATTGTGTTTGGTAAAGACTATTTATGGTTTGTAGCCTAGTTTGAGACTTTTGATTACAAATTTAGTTATGAATGCTTATATTTATAATCAAGAGTTCAATACTTTGGCTCTTTTAAATCCAAAATCTTAATGAATATTCTCCATCTTAATTTTGCCTCAGTTGCCTTACGAATCCAAGTTCCGTAGATGAAATTTTAAATGAGTGTATGTATGATTTTGAATGTGGAATTTGTGGTTGCCAAATATAAGCACAAGAACAAGATTATGGTTAGTATTATTTAATTTTTTGCCATAATTCTCTGCACTAGAAATAAATTTTATACACCTTGGATTATGAGATCAATAGTTAAGTTTTGAATAATTTTATTGGCTATAACTTTTAAAAATGCGTTGAACTTGCTTTATAATTCCAAGTATTAGATTGTATTTCTAAGGCATAGCTAATGAAAGTTGGGATTTTTTATCCATTACTACAAGTGAAGTTGATGAGATGCCTAGATTCTAAAAGACTTATACCAATTAATCTTGGCTCTTTTATCCTTATAAAACATTATAAGTATATTCATAACCATATCCAAGTTATTTTTTCTTTCTTTAATATATATAACAGAGTTGGTGTATATTTGGTTTGTTGTTGATTGGCCTTTTAAGAGAGTAAATCGAGTTAGTGATATTGATGGATTTAAGAGTATGTGGCCTAAAACATTGCTTGCAAGGATGTAGATATAAGGTACTAACAGACATTTTTTTATCATTGATCTTTGTATAGAGAATTGCTCCCAAAATACACCATTAAGTATGAACCTAATTATAACTTTTGTATATAACAATATTACAATAGTCACCTAGTCTTGGAAGAATTTTATATGCAATATGGTCTCTTTGAGAAAGTTACAACCGATCTTGTCATAGGCCTTCTCAAAGTCAAGTAACAAAATGACAAGAAGTTGATTACTTTCTTCCACCTAGTCTATTGTCAATTGAATTATGAATATGTTGTTGAAAATATACTTCTTTAGAAGAAATACCATTTGAAAGCTTTGGATTTGAGTAGAGAAAAAAAAAATCATCATATTTACTAATACCTTGGTTATTATCTTGTAAACATCACCTAATATGGAATTTGGATGCAAGTTATTAAAGTAGGCTAATTCTCATTTTTTTTACAAGAAGACAAATCTTACTTATATTAAGAGCTATGCATAAAGATTTAGTCTTGAAAATCTTTTTGATTAGGCCAAGAGGGTTTGCTCCAATTTTTTTCAAAAATATCTAGAAGAACTTGATGGAAATTCTATCCATATTGAGAGCTTTATCTAAGGGGAGTTCTTTGATTGTCTTTTAATTTCACATATTGAAAAGCTATAAATAAGCTTCTCACCTTATTCTATTATAACATACTTTGGAATGTTTAAAAAGTAGTTCTACCAAACTTGTTGATTAAGTTTGACAATATTATTGTACAAATAAAATTGGATATTAAGAAAATTGACGTATTATTGCATCTCATTATAGCCAATGAATGATATATATTTTTAAATTAATTTTCTTATAAATATAGATTTTTTTGTATCTAATATAGAAGTTAAAAGATTCATAGTTATATTTGTCATCAATTTTGGTCCATTTCAAATTGTATCTATCATGTTTAGCTTCTAGGATCTTTTGGCATCGGTAATGAAAAGCCAATTGTACCACGTTGAAGTTATCTTGAGCTTATTGATAATTCTATTTGCATTGTAGCTCTAATTTTGCTTCAAAGATTGGTAACAAATAGGCAACAAAGGCCTCTTGACGTTCAACATGGTGGGAGCAAGTCTTTTAATTATTGTACTTTTTAGTACTTTAAGTCCCTCTACTAATTGAACATTCTAAGATTTTATCAAATATCCTAAGATGGCCCTACTCAATTCTACTAGTATTAATGGCTTCATTATAGCACATGTGAATAGGTGCTAGTTAAATGCAGGTTGGTGTAATGACTTTATATGGGACAGTTGGATTTTTTCAAAAACTAAAGAAAAATTGAAAACATGCAATAAGATGGGCCAAATTATAGCCAAATTTTGGATCAAAGTTAAAGTTTAATTTTAGTAAAATCTATCTAAATAGAAGCAATTCATTTCTAAGAAAACATGCATATTATCTTACAAAACTATTTAGGAAAGCCTTTCATAAATTCATCTACTCTAAAATAGTCTTCTAGACCAAGATGTATTTGTCTTTTCTTTCTGTGCAATTAATTTCTTAATGTCTCTTTTGATTGTATCCTAACTTCCTTGTTTATTGTTTAGCTCATCAATCATATTAAAAACCCTCCCTACTTCAATATCTAATTGATTGCTAGAAGTGGATGTTGAAAAATCTTCTTTCATAGATATGTATGTGATTTAATATAATTGAATGCATATATATATTAATAATTCCCAACTTTTATGTATAGAGTCCATTACAAGGTGATATATTGGGCCCTTCTCTTCATTATTACTTGGTACTCACATAAGAAATCTACTAGTTTGCCCTATAGAAGAATGAATGTCTTATCCTTTAAACTATCTTTGTTAGTACAATATGTAGCCTTGTTCCAAAAAAAGAGCCCTCAGGGACATTCTATTTGCTTAGTATATTATTTTTTCTTATCCAATGATAGCTTGTGTTCTTAAATTAAAATGATTTCTAATCAAGGATAAAAAAAAATTGAAAGAAATTTCTTACTTCATATTGCTTGCATATTTTAATATTATCTCTTCCTAGATCTTATACATTTAGCCACAATACATGCAACCTCTACAACTTTGCACTAACAAAGATGCAGAAACACGTCTTGTACAACTGCCCAAGGATTTTTTTTTTTTTTCTGCATGGCATTGCTTCAATGCCCTTTGGGCCTATTACAACCAACAAAACAACTACACCATCTCACATAACATACATTTTGGCACCATGAATTAATCTGATAATGCCAATACAGCCTAAACTACTTCATGGGATTCAAAATCTTGTATACAAATTAACAACAACATGCCCTAGGATCTCTTGTGTACTAGCTTGAAATGGAACATATGGGTTCAAAAGTGCAAAGAAGAAATATTTGGACACACCTCTTCCTTAAGCAAGGCACTGTTCTACACAAAAAACAGTTATACATATTGAGGCAGAGGTGTGGCAAAGCATTTTTTGTTATAGGCTTACGTTTGTTTAGCCAACGATCATATGACACATGCCACGGCACTCAATGTAATGCATCTGGGTGCTTTGTTTTTACCACCAGAGGGGATTTCAAGAATGAAAGAATGTAAAGTAGAAGATGAGATTCTTATGCATATAAAGATTCCACTTGTTTTTGAATTGTTAAATCTTCTTTGAAGTGCGAAATCTTATGTACCATGTGTAATATCAGTAATCCAGTAGCAGTAAACAGCAAGGGCACTAATCCAGTTTCAACATCCTTCAATCCTACACCAGCTACAACCACATCATTTTATGATCTTCAATGGGTTTCTTGCACATAACGAGTTTCTTTGATGGGTTTAAAGTCCGTCTGCGGGATTACAAACTCCCCGTCTTCGTCTTCGCTATTCAGAGTTGGTGTAGCGGATCGATGATGAGGCATGTGGTCCTCGGGCAATCGTGGAGAGTTGTACCCGAGGAAGGATGATAAATCTGTTGATTCAATGTCCCATGCCTGTGCGGTGGGAAAGAAATCATGGGAGATAATCTTGAGGATTGATGGAAGTATCGTCCATCGCAATCCATTAGTGTTCCTTGTTGTGTACACTCCTTGCTGTTGTTGAGTAAGGCTGTGATTATGCAGAGTGAGGAGCCCAACTTTGGTTGTGACCATGTGTATAGCCAGTGTGCGTCTTCGCCGACCCCGAGTGGATTCACATGTTTTTGTTTCAAGACAATTTTACCCCGAATGTGAAGCATGGTCTAATTAACCATATGGGTTCAAGCCGACGTTTGTGTCCAGGCTTTTTCCTCAAGGCCATGTGACAGGGAGAAGGTTGCGGCGGTTTTGTTGAGGGGCCTTTTGTTTTGATCAATGCTTTGGGGAGGCCCTCTCTCTTCCTGTAAAAGGCGGGGAGTATGACTGCGGAGGCAGTTGTGTCATCTGGGATTCGACTGGGAGCTAGAGCCGACCAAAAACTGTTTTGTAAGTTTTTGGCTTTGTATCCGTGTATTCTTGTCTAGATGTAGGCAGTGGTAGAGGCTTGGCTCTTCTGTTTGTCCTGTTTTGGATGCCAAAGAAATGTCTGACATTTGGCGGGATGTTCATTGGGATGTGTTGCTATATTCTGTGGTACTAGGGCCCTTCCTTTCTCGCTTGGGGTAGAGGCTACATGTATTTGGTGATTCCACGTTGCGTGCGTTTGTTGTTCATTCTTTCAGCTGCTGGTCTTCTTGCAACCTAGCACTTTTGTACCGAATGGTCCAAAGAGCGACATCTATTGCATTGAGAGGGTAGGCCGCTGTATTCCAACAAATATTCAATGCCCCCTTCGTCGTCAAGCTGGGATAGTATGATTGATAGGGGCAAGGCCTCGATTTTGTCTGTCAGTATGCACACTCTAGGGCCTGAGAGCGGTGAAAGTGTCGGTGTCGTCAGCACAAAGGACTTTGCTGAAGTTCCCAAACGTTTTGCGCAAGAACTCATGGGTTCTTAGGAAGGGAGGGAGCTCCCGTGTTTGGGCCCAAACTCCCATCTTAAGGCTTGATTTATTAAGAGGGTGGTCAGTGTTGAAGTATGGAGACCAACTACAGAAAGTGATGTCAACCCTTCAAGCCAGCTTCCATGAGATGTCAACGTGCATGTCCTCCCCTCTTCTTGTCTACACTGTATTTCGAAATAGTTATTGGACCTAATTGTCAGCTTGTGAAATTACCTATGAAGATCCACATGGATAGTTTTCTGACACCCGGAGTGCCCCCAAATATGTGACATAGATCCATGTAGTTTGTTAAGTTTTTTCATTTTTTCTTAGTAAGATTGGAGGCGGTTTGGTGCCATGGTAATCTGTAAGGGTGGGGAACGCTCCTCATCGTTCAGTGAGCTGAGGGGGGCTGTGACGTTTGCTCGATCCGTTGTTACAGCGACCTGTTGACTGCAGAGTGCGGGCTGGAGCTGCTGGGGAGCAGAAACCTGCTCTGGAATACGAGGTACCTCCTCCGAGAGCTCGTAAGTTTCTACTTGACAAGAACTGTCCATTCGACGGAAGATGACAACAAGTGTATTTAAAGAATTTATGCTTGATTTAGAGAGGAAGATGGTTGATGTACAAAAATAGAAGGTGTTACTATTGGTTGATGATTTCTCAAACGTCCAAGTACCTCACATAGATGCACAATTGAGAATTGAGTTCCTACCTATAAACACTAAGTAAATTCCAACCTATGGAAACAAAACTATTCCATCATTCAAAGCTGAATATCGCAAGCAGTTGATTCAACAACGAATAAATTCTCTCATAGCATTAAGAGCAAAGATATTATTAATGTGTACCAATGAACAATGATACTAGAGAATGGTTGGAACATTACTGATATTACATCAAGAATCATAAATTGATGAAAAATTACACGTATAATTTTGGCTTTCTTTTTACAACAGGGAAATAGAGGAGACAACCATGAGAGACAGAGCAGCTCAAGAAACAATACAAAAAGTGTTGGAAATAGTTCCTACCACAACAAAACAATTGGCAATGGTATTTGCAAAGAGTGAAATTGGACACACTACGAATGCACAAGAGATCATCAATTATGATCTAGACATTGATTTAAACAAAGCCTACACACCTACTGAGGAGGAATTTATACGTCTGCAAGATGAACAAGATGATGCAGCAAACAATAAACCCATTAAAAAAGTTCATAATGTGTTATTCATAAGTTACGTTCTACATTCTCTACGTCCCCTAACGCACCATTCCAGTTACAATTCCATCCCACATAACCCGCACACCACATTCCATACATACCCTTGTTCTTCCGTCCTCCGTCAAAGCGACCGGTGGTAACACACGCACACTACCTCATCCCCACACCACAAACATCATCACAATACACCCAATCTCTCCCCAAACCAGGCCCACATCCTGCTCTATCGGAATACGATCAACTCGCTCACCGATATCAAATCCAAACGCACTACCATTCACACCCTATCTCTCCACCCACAAGCCATTCCACCACACCACACCACACCACACCACACGCATCCACGCCGTCTTCATGTACATTCCCCTCCATTCCTATTCCAATCTCCTCGTTTCACATCCTCTTCTTCAATTTCCCCCCTTTCCCACCCTTTACATCACAAAAGCCCCACCGTTTCCTACCCTATCCACACCCTCACCTCGGCTGGGCTGGGCGGGACGGACTCCTACCGTCCTGGGGTCTCTCTTCATACATATCCATTGTACAATGCCTGGCAGCTCTCCGTACCTCCGCCAGGTACCGAGCTCTCCCAGCTCTTCCGTATACCTGTTTCATTGCTACGACAGAACCCGCAACCAAGACCCTATTACCCCGTGCCTCACGCCTCCATCCCCTCCCCTCCCATCCCCCCCCCCGCCTATTCCACGTCGATCTCGCCGTCCTCCACGTCCACCACCTCGTCCTCTTCGTCCGTCTTCACCGCCTGCGCCGACTCCCCGTCCATCTCCCCCTCCTCCTCCTCGTGCGCCTCCTCCTCGTCGTCGTCGTTCCTCATGTACAGCCCCAACTGCTCCAGCGGATTGCTCCCGCCCTGCAACGCGATCGTCGATGAACCATCCGCCGACCCCTCATCCCCGTTCCCCGCATCGTGCCCTCCTCCCAACATCGCCTCCAACGGTACCGACCGCAGCCTTTCCAAATCCTTCAGTATTCCGCTGTTCTCGTCTATCTCCACTGTCCTCTCCATCTGCACCCGCCCACCCACCGCGTCCCGTCACGTCTCCCACACGCAACCCCCATACTCACCTCACCCCACACAGCCCCCGCCTCCATCCATAGAATAAACATTCACACACACCTGCTGCAGCTCTCTACGAGCCTCTTCGCGCTCAAGCAAGGAACCACGACTAAGCCAACCAAATTTCATCACCTCGCCGAGCATCCCCACGAGAAACTAACCAGCCTTCATAACCCTCACTCCAGCCCTAACCCCATCATTCACACCTTGTCATGTGATGCTTTGCCTCCACCTCCACCCCCACCACCACCACCACCACCACCACCAGTCTGCCCATCCTCGGCATCCGATTCACTCCCCGACGAGCTCCCGGAATCCGAATCTACACATCCAACCACCAACCCCCAACCCCTTCAAAAACCGTCTCCTCCCACCCCCTCCGCCACCAACTGCAACCTCCCCTCTCCGCACTTACCACTGTCCGAGCTCCCCGAGTCGCTGCTGTCACTCCCCGAGCTGCTCGATTCTCTCCCGTTGTCGATCACTACCGGCGCGAATTTCGTCGCGCCCACGTCGTCGCCGATATCTACATCCCTCTCACCCTCTTCCCCGCCTGTACCACAAACCAACCATGTCAACCACTCTCCTCTTTCGCACACCCCACCACCCATCATCCCACACTCCACGCCCCCACAATATCATCCAAACAACGCCCACCCATCCCTCACCAGTTCCACCTCTGCGCCCCTCCCCATCGCCTGCTTCCGCCATCTGTCCCCACCGCCCCAAACCACAAATCAGTACCTTGCCATCCCACAACGTTCTCCCGCTCACTACCTCGCACCCCCTCCTCCCCGCTCCCGCCACCACCATCAACCCGCTCGCCCAACAACCCCCGCCGTTCACCACCATAAACCCCCGCCCCCACATTCCACCCACCTCAACGTCCCCGTATTGCGCCTGTGCCTTCGACTTCGCCCTCTTCCCCCTGCTCTTCATGTAGTTCGTCACGAACCGATCCAGCTCCCACAGCGTGTCGTTGTCGAACGAGTCTATGTCCACCTCGATCTCGTCCTCGTTCTGCCCCAAATCCGGATTCCTCTTCTTTATGATCTGTACAATCCGCTCCAGCTTGTCCCCCGGAAGCCTCTCCAAGTTCACGCTCAGTTTCCTCTTCTCCTCGAACGTCATCGCTCTCTTCCCCACCTCCTCCGGCCGCGGCTTCGGCTGCGAACCCATCCGCGAGCTCGCCTTCCCCCGCGTCAACGACACCACATCCCTCTCCCCCCTCCGCACCTCCCCGCTCTCCTCCACCGAGTCCTCGTCGTTCGCCAGCATCTCCTCCTCCTTCCCGCATCGCCTCCTCTCCTCCTCCACCTTCCTCCCCATGTTCTTCCACCACTCCTCGAACATGTTCTTCAGCAGCTCCGCCATCACGTACACGTCGTGCCCCACCGGGTTGTACGTCATCGCATTCGAAAACGTTAACCGAATGTCCTCCCCGAACTCCAACGGCGACGCATACTGCTTCAGGTGCAGCTTCTTCTTGATCGTCCCCAGATCCATCGGCTTCTTTATGATCGAGTGGTAGTCGTGCAGCCCCAGCTTCTCCGCGTCCACCGGCTCGTTGAACACCCACCCGTGCTTGTGCGTCATCAGCTTCCGCAGCAGCGTCATGCACTGCTTCAACATCTCGCCCATCCTCTTGCCCCGCGCCGCCTCCACCTTCTGCCGCCGAGGGTCCCTCCCATCAAGGGTCCCCTTCTCCCCCACCCCCCTCTTCGCCTTCGCCTTCTCCGGAGCCGGCATCTTGTCCTTCCCCGACACGAACTCCGAGTTCACGTACAGCGCGTTCGCTTTCGGCGTCCGCTTCATCTTCTCGCTCGGCGTCCCGCCCGAAGCCTCCGGTACCGCCACGCTCGCCTGACGCGCCAGCCGAGCCTCCCTCTGCGACATCTCCTTCGGCATGTCTCGGGGCGTCTCGCCCGACGACGACGCCGGATCCGACACCACCGACGCCACCTCCTTCCTCCCCTGCCACGTCTCCGCCCCCCGACCCGATTTAGCCTCGCTCCCCTGCGAATGCTGCTTGCTCTCCGATCCCAACCCCCCCGCCCGCTGCCTCCCCTTCGCAAGAACCTCCAGCCACGCCTCGATCTTGCACCCCACCGTCCGAACCTCCTCCAGCCCCCGCTTCAGCTTCTTCCGCAACTCGCTCCTCTGCTCGCGGCTCAGCTTCGCCACGTCCACCGTCATCACGCCCGCCGGCCCCTGCACATACTCCTGGTTCAAACTCATCGACTTCCGTTTCAAAGCCCGGGGCTCGTTCGACACGTCCGCGCCCACCTTCGCCATCTTCGGCCCCTTCTTCATCATATCGTCCGCCCCTACGGAGTAAGGGTTCGCGTGCCGCTCATGATTCAACACGGCTATCGACGCCATGCATGCGGACTCACTCGCAGGGCTACTCCCCCCCCTCCCTCCCTCCCTCCCTCCTCCCCGTCGCCCTCTCGCTCAAACACTCATCCTAACCTGTTCCACCACCCTTCGCAGGCCACCTACAACCGCAACCCCTTTCCCAACGCCCCCAAAAAAATTACCCGCCGCTCCTCCGAACTACCTCACCGCCGCCGCTTCTGCTACCCAGCACTCCAGACGCGGATCTATCCCCCCTCCCCTCTAATCTGCTCCCACCTCGCGTGCTACTGCTCCCAGATGGATGCCCCAGCCAGGCCCCTCTAGTCGGCCCCCTGCTGCATCCTGCGCCACGCCCGAGGGGTCATCCTCGGCGGATCACCCACCCCAGGGCCTCCCGCACGCGAGGGCGCATGCACAACATAACACAGCCCAAACCCCACCCCACCCCACCCCGAAATTCAACTCTAAGCCCCCGTCCCGACCCGACCCGGCCCGGCCCGAGTCCGCGACGCACCCTCCAAGCTTGCCTCAATTTGCTTGCCTGCCCCACGACACCGGCAGCAGCACGCTGGACTGCAGGCAGCTCTAGGGTTTTCCCGCCCGAACCCTCCTCGCGAATCGGCGGCGAAGGAACACTCGATCACTCGCACAGCCAAGCCAGTGCCCCCGTCCCACCCGACGCCGCTCGCTCGCTGGGTTTCCCCGCGGCGCCACCTGTGTTCCTGCCCCGTACAACAACAGTCCAATGCCACCCGGGGTCGCCCACCCGATCACGCCACCACGGATCCCCTCCACCCCCCACGCCCCACAAGCCCTCCTCCCTCGATCCGCCCGACCGACGTCGTGTTACTGCTGCTGCAACGTCGTTGTCTTCGAGCTCCGTCCCCTGCAGCGCTCCGCCTCCCCGTCTTCCATTATGTAGGCCCCCATGCGCCGCGGGATTAGGCGATGCACCTCCCGCCACCGAGGCTCGGCTTTTTATGGGTTTCTGTTGTCATTCTTTGTTTGTTTTTTTTCGTTTTTCGTTTTTTGTTTTGTTTTGTTTTGTTTTGAATTTTTCTTTTCTCTGTGTATTGGCGTTTTTTACCTTGTCTTTTGGTTGTAGCTTGGTTAATGAGTTGAATATCTGTTTTTTGCGTTTTTTAGTATGTTTTTTGGTGTCTGTTTATTGAGAAGTTTTTATATCTTGTTTTGCCTTGTTTGAGTTTTATTATTTTCTTTTTTGCATTGCTTGAGCTCTCTTGTTTTTTCTTTGAAGATACTGTTCTTAGTTTTGGTTGCTAGCAGTTATGGACTGTGTAGGGATATTGTAGTCAGATTTATCCAAGGGCTTTAGTATTGTTTCGAATTCCTTTTGTTGAGCACTTTATCACCATGTTTTTATTGGAGTTTGAGAAGTTGGTCGTTGTTTTAGTCAGGTACTAGCGGCCAAGCTGCTCATGCCGTCTTATTTTTTTGTTTATTTTCAGTGTGGGGCTTTCATTTTCAGAGCTCTGGCATCCTCGAAGTTATTAACTAAGTTTTTTGAATTGCAATGTCGTGGTGGGTGACATGATCTGTTAGCTTCAATTTCAGGTCTTTTTTAGGTAAATCGTGTTCTTGAATCTTTAGAAGTTATCTGTCACTTTGTATCAAGAGAATAGCGAGAATCGGCTTGCATGCACCGCAGAGTTCTTGTTACGAAGTGGAATATCCTTAGGTGATGTATGGTTTATGTTAACCTGGTTGCAGGCTACTTGTCGGATGTTTAAAATTGAAGGGAATTATGTGAAACCACACCTTTAGATGTATCTAAACTAGGTATTCCATTTGGTTATCTTGCGATATATATCCAAATTTCAGACTCTAATCTAGTTTTTTGTAAGAACAAGATGAGTATAACCTTGCTGAATTGCAAATCTGCCAAGTGTGCAGCTGTAGTGGGTCATACAAGTTGGTTATAAACTAAGAATGGTTAACCGTACTATGTCAATCGGCACTGTTAGAAGTGCACACAGTTTACCACTAGATGTGTACAAGTTCTTAAATACATAATTTTCTTTTGTGGGCTTGTTATTGTTAGCTTGTAGAACGGAATTTTGCCAAGGCCATTGCCGTCATTCAGAGAGTAGTTATGGAAGGGCTGATGTTCAAAGTATGATTTTGAAGAGTAACATTTTCAATGATTATGTACACTTAGAAACTTCGTTCATTGTTGGAACAATAGTTCGATATTGCTGCATAAAACAGCGTTAACCAGAAACTTTCCAACCAGGAGATGTGGACTTAACAAGACTAAAATGTCCAAGTTCAACATAGCGTTCAGAAGTCAAATGCAACTGATTTGTGGTATTAATGATAAATTGCACCACGCAATGATTCAGACTGCGTGCTTATTCAGAACGGGTCCTGAAATATCAGAGTCCAGATGCGAACTCGGATTGCTGTTGGAATTACTAACAATGCAAGGAGCCGTAAGGGCCCCTGGTAATCCACATGTGCAGTGAGCTTGGACGTGAAAATTAAGCATGGTGCATGAACTAGAAATCAACAAGTCTTGGACAGAAAATGCTTTTACAACTGAAACTCCCAGAAACTCGGGATCTCCTCTGCTTACTGAACAGCCTCTTGATTCACCATCTTTTGATATGTATACGTGATACTGCACCCACTGGCAATTTCCAGGTGAACTATGCATCTGAACCAGTCCCCACCTCAAAGTCAAGCTAACTGATTTCCATGCCTCGGATTTTTGTGTCCACTGTGGTTCGCAGCCTTCAAAAACAATGTTGGGTAATTCTCTGTCATGTTCTCGTTCAGTAGATATACGCAGGTGACCTAGCATGCCATGTAAAATTTCAGGATCTTTCGAACCAGCAACGGAATCAGTAATCAAAGTTCTCGTGGTCAGGGTGTTATCCTCAACTAAGGATATGAGCTTCTTTACGTCGAGCTCGTGAGAGTACGTAACAGCATATATTTGGGAAAGTGCACAAATGCCTAGTTCCAACACATGCTTGCGCACAATCCACTTGTTACTTTCTGAATTGAGGGTCTCCAAATCTGCTTTGCGCGTAGCCTGCTGGACAACACAGTTTTTCAAGGTTGAAGGCACTTGTACTTGAGACCCTTCTTCTACCAGCAATACTACAATTCTTGAGCTTTCTCTGTGAATAATAAGAGCAATACAGATATGGAGCTGATCATCCACATGAACCTGTACCAAAGATGTAACCAGTCCTGATTTTAGAATCATGATATGTAATACTTGAACACCGTATAATGCTTTAGTTGCAGGGAATGATAGTCTATGTTGATATCCTACAAATTCGATTTCTGAAAAAGATATCTATGCAAAACGGTTTCTAACAAACACACGATTAGCGAGTACGGTAAACAATGAGAAAACAAAAGCAGTTAACAAAAATAATGAAAATAGACAAAAACTTACACAGTATGATGTATGAATCTCTCTCGTCTTTACGGGAACGTTACATTCATATAGCAGCACCAAACCTTGAGAGTCATCAGATCCTGTTAATTTTATGCAGGACCCTCCGCTATACGCTGCCTCATGACTGCCACAACAATGAATTTTTAATTCAGGGATTACCCCAAAAACGCTTTAGAACTTTAAGCGTGATAGGATAGGCTATTGTTGCCAAAGACGACAGGATAGAACGAGAAAAATATCCTTCAGCTTTTTGAACTCATTCTTTAATAAACAGAATAAACGAAAGTCAAGTGTCTAATTTCAAATGACTAACCTAAAAAAAAACATGTGAACGTACAAAAACATTTCAAGCTGACATGCTGCGATCTCATTTGTTACATTGTTAAGAAAAGTAATTAACTAAGGAACTCCTAGGCGAAAACTCTGATCATGTTCAAGTTTGAAGAGGCAAGAAACATCCATTAATGGGTTCTTATAACATCCGTCGTTGGATAAGTTCTCTAAAGATGATTAAACAAGAATGCATAGAAGCTGTTCATGCAAAAAATGGATGGGGTACATATGTCACCTCATGCTGACTTCCAAGGGACTTTCGGACAGTGCAATCACTTTCAATATCGGCTGCTCACAACGTCCGAAAGGTTAATATGCTAGAAGAAGACTCGATCATAAGGAACACCTAACTATAAACGGAAGCAGAGGAATTATGTAAATCGAAGGAGCACAGACATTAACAAATACCTGTAAATTTTGGCATGAAAGATTAAACCATGGCTGAGTTGAAACCTCCTTTCCTTCTACTGCCACCCGAGTTCCACAACCCTGTTGCCATTACCGCCATCAGCATCCGTTGAGCTTTATGCTCATTGAATAATTCTTCCTTGCAGTATAGAATAATCATAAATAGGAAATTTAAGAAACTTTAGAATGTGGATCAACGGCAATTTCCAAAAGAAATAAATAAATAAATCGTTCTCTAGTAAGTTCGGTGCTTCACTCGATTGAAGTCGGTGAAAAACGGAAGTGCTATTGGACTACAACGAGCAATTGGCCAACAGTCTTCAATGCGGCTCCACCACCTATATCAAAGAACATAGTTTAGATTTCAATTCCAACTGCGACTGATTTCCCAATTCAAATAACCACTAATTTTCACTGAGATCAGAAAGAACTTTCATATGTGCATTGGCACGCTTCTAAAAACTAACATAGGATTTCCAAAAGTAAAAAAAACGGCACGAAATAAACGTACAACACAGCAGGCTCACATCCGCAAACGAGTTTAGCACGTATAGTTGAAAAGAATATTTCTGCTTATAACCTGCTTTGGGCAATTTCAAAGGAAGGTGGTTGATTGGTTTCATAAACCCATGCTGGAGCAAATAAAGCTGCTGATACTTCTCCCTCGCGTGCTACCTTCAGCGCTTTGTCACACTGCGCACCCCTTCCACGTCAAACTAAATATTAGAAGACTTCAACACCTTAATAAATCCACCCAAGTTCAGCCTTGTATAAGACTAGCAAGAAAAAGGTTTCCTCTAGATAAACAATTTTTCTGGCTTAGCCCCATGCGAATCAACAAGATAAGCCTTTAACGCTGTGTACAGAATCTATGGCTGAGCATGACAAGTGGCGCCCACAAGCTCGATACCTCGAGTGACCATATTTTGAAAAACCAAAGTAATTGATACATTTCACACGTACAAAGGAAGAATTTTAAACGACATAAGACTAACACGGATAATAGGAAGCCTACATCAAAACCTCCACCACCAAATGTGTTGCGCCCAAAAACATCCACCCCCATATACACCTCAAAGTTCCGCTCCCCAGCTGCATTGGCACTTAATTTAGCCATCCCCTCCTGTTCCATATTCATCCGCAAAAGTGTGAACCGATGCATAGGCGTAAACCCAGTCAAAGACAATACCTACCGAGAGTTCATGCAGTGTACAAAAATCTTACAAACGGCGCAGGGATAGAGATTCTAAAACTTCAAGTATAATGTGCCCCCAGAACATGGCAAATTTCTTCTATAATGAGAACAATTCCATTTGATGCAGAGACTCACACTCCAAGTATAGTTGGTGAAGAGGCCATCACTGACGGCAAAAAAGGACCGATTTTTCTCGTTCAAACAATTTTGCCAATCTAGATCTCCTTCATCTGTAACAGCATCGTACCTACAATATATAATATTGATTTCAAATATAGTCTCAAGCATAATATAATATCAAAATATAGACACATTCTACATGGAAACAATCCAAAAGCGGGTTTAGGTTTTGGATAATACTATGTATCAAACTATTGTTGTTATTAGAAGTAGAAGTAGAGGTAGTAGTCAGAATGAATGCACAACATGGTGAGGCTATTACCAGATGACGTCAGAGTTGGGCTTCAGGGTGTGCATACATTGTCGCAAATGTTGCAAAAAAAGATGTAGACGTGGTAGATCCTTCGTATCCACCTTATTCTCTATATTGACCTGCTCGATTCAAAAAAGAGAAATCAGTAATAAATACTTGGAACCCTCCCGCTGAATCCTCCCACCTTAAGTATTATACATAATTTATAACTGCAATTACTGAAGGTTCTGGGTAAATGTGTGAGTATTTACATACCAACCAGCCATCAAAGCCCAAACCATAAGCCAAATCTGCCAACTGGGACGCGTACATACAGCAAGTTTCTGCACTGGCAAGGAGCTCCCGGCACACCGACGCACCGCGTGCCCATTCGGTAATAAAAGTTCCGAGGACCTGTTTGCAATATTCGAGGTAAAATAATATTAAATTTTAGCGTCGTAGCCCTGAAAGTGGCAAACAAACAAACCAAAAAGAAAAAATCCCTTCAAAAAACATTCTAAACGGTCACGAGTTCCGTATCATAACACATCCTCTAAGAGAGATCTTCTAACCCTCGAACATCGTAATAAACCCTTCATCAAACTCACCGGAACACCATGTTTGTGGCCGGCATTGATCCATCCTGGAGGTGGAATGGTCACTAGCGAATGTGAGAAGTACACAAATACATCGACCAAATGCCAATGCCAGAGAACGTACCCCTCCATTCCCTTCCTTCCCTGCACCCATTTGTCCTCTTGATAACCTCCCTTGTAATCATGACACACAAGCAGCTGTGGCCGCTTTGCCTCGATGTTAAGCGGCAATGGTACCGAGCCTTCAAGAAATTCCCGTACTGGAGACTTAAGAAGCTTTTGACCCGCCAAATCTGCCAGAGTATCAATCGGTTGGGCCACTGGTGATCCGTATTCAGACTCTGCAGCAGACTCTACCATGGCTGTAGCTACTTGAATTCTCCAAATACAGCAGGAACAAATTGCAGGTAGCTTCGACAATATTGCAAATACCCGCCTCCTTGCTTCTGCAATAAATACTCTAACTTTACGTCTCCGAAGCACCCTAACACTAAAGTACATATATATCTCCTGCAAAACAAATCCGAGAGTTCTCAGAATTCCTGCAAAGTAAACCTTTCAGCCTCCCTATGCTTTTACTACCGCATAATTTTGTTAGCATCACGCTCTTGGAAACACACCCCTCCAGTGTGCATCTTACCAGTTGAAGAAACCCCATCTTCTGACAAAAACTCTGCCTATCACCTCTCTCAAATAACAACCAGACTCACATGCTTAGAAAAACATCGGACACTGAAGTTAGAAAAGAAAACGTTGCGATTTCAACAAGCATTGAAACTACCGAAGTGTAAAATACCACGCAGCACCTGCACAAACGGTCAACCCCTACAACTCCAACATTCGAGAAATATAATGGATGGCTGGCAACCAAAACATACAGATCCAGCGAGAAAGAACAGGCTCACAGTAGCAGTCACCCATTCATGACCTGCGTTGTGGCTCCTTCAGACCCAGTGATGACATCTAACCCGACCTCTGCTACAAATGGTCGGAAGCGAAAGATCTACTCTGCCAAAACTCCAACAAATTTCGATTTATCAAATCTGGTTAACTGACACAACAATCTCATCTTGGTAATTACATGTCCACCTCCGCAATTTCAATGCTTCTTTTTCGCCGCAGCTAACTGACTCTTCCTGCGAAACAAAATCGACCTCGCGCAAATGATCTTGAAAGACTCGTACTCCACACACTGAAACTAAGCTCTCAGGACATCAACTCTCACAAGAGTCGGTATATCTCTCAGTCTGTCACTACCTGTGAAGCCAAATGTGGAAATCGTGAACACAGCCGTCCCAGTTCCTCAAATTTCTTACATGAATTCCAGACAAACTCCGGTGATTTCTGACCAGTTCCTCTGCAACTCGACATCTCTCCAATCCGGCCTTGCCCCTCCTGAGATCCCACAACCGATACGACGATCCTCTTGGTCCCTCGTCAACACCGATTTTGTGCACAGCAAATCTGTACAAACATCAAGCAATCCTCGGCAAATTTCTGTTTCACTCTAACATCCCAATTGCACTCTGGCGTTTTTACTTCATCTGCCAGCCATCCATGTGTGTCTGCAGGTACAGATGCCCGGCTCATTGACGGGCATGCAATTGCTAGGAGTCCCAAAATATTAGCACGAGGGGTGCAAGGATAAGGGTTTGAGATTTTAAATAAAAAACACAAATCCATTTATGAACAGTTGGATAGATTAAGGGTTTAAGATTTGTTAATTTGTAATCGTACACCGAGGGATTAGGGCTTTCTATTCATCCATTACCAGCTGGATACCCCTATTTCGCTACGGCCCTTTCTCACTGCCCAATTTCTGTATCTTTCTCAATGTCCTATTTCTTTCCTCACAGCCAGATTTCTGCATCTTTCTCACTGCCCGAAATCTTTATCTTTCTCACTGCCCGGTATCTATATCTTTCTCACTACCCGATTTCTGCATCCTTCTCACTGCCCGATTTCTGCATCCTTCTCACTGCCCGAGATCTATATCTTTCTCACTGCCCGATTTCTGCATCCTTCTCACTGCCCGAGATCTATATCTTTCTCACTGCCCAATATCTGTAGCTTTCTCACTGCCCGATTTCTGCATCCTTCTCACTGCCCGAGATCTATATCTTTCTCACTGCCCGAGATCTATATCTTTCTCACTGCCCGAGATCTATATCTTTCTCACTGCCCAATATCTGTATCTTTCTCACTGCCCAATATCTGTATCTTTCTCACTGCCCAATATCTGTATCTTTCTCACTGCCCGATCTATATGTATCTTTCTCACTTTCCGATTTTCTTTTCCACGCACTTGAAGAAAAATGTTTTCTAACCTCTCTCTCTCTTCTTCTGGCAGTCGATTTCTTTCCAATGCCCCACCGCAGTTCGGTACCTTTGCCCCTCATGACCGCAGCAATACGTTCTCGTCCACGTCCCCAATCGTACATATGAGTTTCAAGCTCGTACGAGGTTCCCAAACTCAATATACGTTCCCACAATGCATTGTGAAGCGCTCTCACGTTCTCAACGAGGGCAATTGAAAATGACAATCATGTCCTCTTTTCATTACTCATTTTATATACTTACCTTGCTCTTCAAGCAAAACTCGCCATCAATGCTCGAAGGATAAATATATATGGGCCCCTTTCCTCCAGATTGTGGTAGGTAACCACTTCCTTTCTTACTCCATGACATAGAAACTTTCATACATGCTTTGCTTGATAGTTATTGCTGAAACTGGTCCATACGGTATAAATTTGAATATATAACTAAATGTAGTATTGATAAAAGTTTGTTGAAAATTTTATCAGAAAAAGTTTCAACAAACTTTATCAAACTCACTTAGTTATACATGTTTATAAATTTTTATTGATTGAGAATATTTCAAGAAACAAAATGTAGGAGGGATAGATAAGTTTCAATGCATTATTTTAAAAACAATAAAAACTATGTTTGTATGTATGGATAGGGGAGTTATAAATAGACCCATACTTTTACTAAATAGACCCAATCTTGATGAAAAACATGGTAATCATGATGAATATGGTTGGATTTTATTGGTTGCAAACCTAATAATGGAAAAATGAATCCAAAAATCATTGTTTTATTTATTTATTTTAAGGGTGGGTCAATCCATTAAAAACTTGGGTCTATATAATATTCTCATATATATATATCCACAAACACATAAAATTGATTAATCCCTTACTAATTATAAATGGTTAGAATATTGAATAACACCATAGAAAATATTTGTTGACAAGCTAGTAATATAGCACAGTCTATATTGATAAAGTACTCAAGGTAAATAACTTATTCTTTAATAATATCTTAACCAAGCTATTTATAATTATCTGTAAATTTATTGTAATTTACGGGTTTATAAAATTCTGTGTACAAATCATTAAAATCTTCACAGGCAACAATGTCAACCTTTTCTGAACTTACTAAAACTCAACTATGTTATCTACAAACGTGATATCACAATCATTTTGTAATCCATTCCACATATGGTTGTATTAAACAGCTCAAAAAGTCATCATAAACATTCTGCCTAACATGGGTTTTTGGTGTTTCATGCATTTATGTATACATACATACAGCTTTATATTCTAATACAGTATAAAATATATACCAATACACACATATGTATACAAACATGTGTACATACATGAATCACTCGTAGAAACTGATTTCTTTTTCTATTAACAGACACATAAAAAAATAGACAGTGTATTTTAGTATGTTCACCATGTGTAAGTTGCGAATGCAAGCCATGTCAATTACTTTTGATCCCACTAGAAAGTCCAAAAACTTTATACATAAATTGATGAAGTGTCTTAAAAACATGTTTTGTTCATGATAGAATCGACGCCGCACATTCTTCGATACTTATGTAAAACTGGAATAAATATGTTGCCTACTTTTATTTGCACCTGTGTGATGTAGAATAGAGACAATTACATTGATTTAGATGTGTCTATATCCTAAAATTAAATATGTTAGATCCATCTACATTAGTAAAAACTGAGAAATATATTGAACACCAGTTCTAATCAGTACATTGTAATCAAATTGAATGGTAGCCATTGAATGAATGACCAACAAAATGAAAATAAGTGGTACACATGGTAATGCACAGTCAGCTAACATTAAGAAAAAAACACTAACTCAACAAATTTCACAACTCGAAAGGAGGCGACGGACGCCAAACACAGAGTTGACATCGAAGCGAAGTGACAGAAGTAACGAATTTCGTTGGTTAAAGTACGCAAAAAAACGCAACCAGCAAAATCATAACTCCCGCCGAAGAATAAAGACACCAGGCGCGGTCACGTCCCAAGAATTTCAAACAAACTAAGGTGACAACAACAATGCAAACTGCCTCCAAAAACCCAAAAACAGTATCTACCCACCATAAAGCCCCAGAACCACGTAAGATCATACAGGCGAAAATAGATCCGTCGTAAAATTGAGAGACACACACAAAACACCACGTCAGAATCAACAGCAGCCATAGACACACGGACCACTCGAAAGGGGCGCCTCGACGGCGGGAGGTGCATCGCCTAATCCCGCGGCGCGTGGGGGCCTACATAATGGAAGACGGGGAGGCGGAGCGCTGCAGGGGACGGAGCTCGAAGACAACGACGTTGCAGCAGCAGTAACACGACGTCGGTCGGGCGGATCGAGGGAGGAGGGCTTGTGGGGCGTGGGGGGTGGAGGGGATCCGTGGTGGCGTGATCGGGTGGGCGACCCCGGGTGGCATTGGACTGTTGTTGTACGGGGCAGGAACACAGGTGGCGCCGCGGGGAAACCCAGCGAGCGAGCGGCGTCGGGTGGGACGGGGGCACTGGCTTGGCTGTGCGAGTGATCGAGTGTTCCTTCGCCGCCGATTCGCGAGGAGGGTTCGGGCGGGAAAACCCTAGAGCTGCCTGCAGTCCAGCGTGCTGCTGCCGGTGTCGTGGGGCAGGCAAGCAAATTGAGGCAAGCTTGGAGGGTGCGTCGCGGACTCGGGCCGGGCCGGGTCGGTCGGGACGGGGGCTTAGAGTTGAATTTCGGGGTGGGGTGGGGTGGGGTTTGGGCTGTGTTATGTTGTGCATGCGCCCTCGCGTGCGGGAGGCCCTGGGGTGGGTGATCCGCCGAGGATGACCCCTCGGGCGTGGCGCAGGATGCAGCAGGGGGCCGACTAGAGGGGCCTGGCTGGGGCATCCATCTGGGAGCAGTAGCACGCGAGGTGGGAGCAGATTAGAGGGGAGGGGGGATAGATCCGCGTCTGGAGTGCTGGGTAGCAGAAGCGGCGGCGGTGAGGTAGTTCGGAGGAGCGGCGGGTAATTTTTTTGGGGGCGTTGGGAAAGGGGTTGCGGTTGTAGGTGGCCTGCGAAGGGTGGTGGAACAGGTTAGGATGAGTGTTTGAGCGAGAGGGCGACGGGGAGGAGGGAGGGAGGGAGGGAGGGGGGGGAGTAGCCCTGCGAGTGAGTCCGCATGCATGGCGTCGATAGCCGTGTTGAATCATGAGCGGCACGCGAACCCTTACTCCGTAGGGGCGGACGATATGATGAAGAAGGGGCCGAAGATGGCGAAGGTGGGCGCGGACGTGTCGAACGAGCCCCGGGCTTTGAAACGGAAGTCGATGAGTTTGAACCAGGAGTATGTGCAGGGGCCGGCGGGCGTGATGACGGTGGACGTGGCGAAGCTGAGCCGCGAGCAGAGGAGCGAGTTGCGGAAGAAGCTGAAGCGGGGGCTGGAGGAGGTTCGGACGGTGGGGTGCAAGATCGAGGCGTGGCTGGAGGTTCTTGCGAAGGGGAGGCAGCGGGCGGGGGGGTTGGGATCGGAGAGCAAGCAGCATTCGCAGGGGAGCGAGGCTAAATCGGGTCGGGGGGCGGAGACGTGGCAGGGGAGGAAGGAGGTGGCGTCGGTGGTGTCGGATCCGGCGTCGTCGTCGGGCGAGACGCCCCGAGACATGCCGAAGGAGATGTCGCAGAGGGAGGCTCGGCTGGCGCGTCAGGCGAGCGTGGCGGTACCGGAGGCTTCGGGCGGGACGCCGAGCGAGAAGATGAAGCGGACGCCGAAAGCGAACGCGCTGTACGTGAACTCGGAGTTCGTGTCGGGGAAGGACAAGATGCCGGCTCCGGAGAAGGCGAAGGCGAAGAGGGGGGTGGGGGAGAAGGGGACCCTTGATGGGAGGGACCCTCGGCGGCAGAAGGTGGAGGCGGCGCGGGGCAAGAGGATGGGCGAGATGTTGAAGCAGTGCATGACGCTGCTGCGGAAGCTGATGACGCACAAGCACGGGTGGGTGTTCAACGAGCCGGTGGACGCGGAGAAGCTGGGGCTGCACGACTACCACTCGATCATAAAGAAGCCGATGGATCTGGGGACGATCAAGAAGAAGCTGCACCTGAAGCAGTATGCGTCGCCGTTGGAGTTCGGGGAGGACATTCGGTTAACGTTTTCGAATGCGATGACGTACAACCCGGTGGGGCACGACGTGTACGTGATGGCGGAGCTGCTGAAGAACATGTTCGAGGAGTGGTGGAAGAACATGGGGAGGAAGGTGGAGGAGGAGAGGAGGCGATGCGGGAAGGAGGAGGAGATGCTGGCGAACGACGAGGACTCGGTGGAGGAGAGCGGGGAGGTGCGGAGGGGGGAGAGGGATGTGGTGTCGTTGACGCGGGGGAAGGCGAGCTCGCGGATGGGTTCGCAGCCGAAGCCGCGGCCGGAGGAGGTGGGGAAGAGAGCGATGACGTTCGAGGAGAAGAGGAAACTGAGCGTGAACTTGGAGAGGCTTCCGGGGGACAAGCTGGAGCGGATTGTACAGATCATAAAGAAGAGGAATCCGGATTTGGGGCAGAACGAGGACGAGATCGAGGTGGACATAGACTCGTTCGACAACGACACGCTGTGGGAGCTGGATCGGTTCGTGACGAACTACATGAAGAGCAGGGGGAAGAGGGCGAAGTCGAAGGCACAGGCGCAATACGGGGACGTTGAGGTGGGTGGAATGTGGGGGCGGGGGTTTATGGTGGTGAACGGCGGGGGTTGTTGGGCGAGCGGGTTGATGGTGGTGGCGGGAGCGGGGAGGAGGGGGTGCGAGGTAGTGAGCGGGAGAACGTTGTGGGATGGCAAGGTACTGATTTGTGGTTTGGGGCGGTGGGGACAGATGGCGGAAGCAGGCGATGGGGAGGGGCGCAGAGGTGGAACTGGTGAGGGATGGGTGGGCGTTGTTTGGATGATATTGTGGGGGCGTGGAGTGTGGGATGATGGGTGGTGGGGTGTGCGAAAGAGGAGAGTGGTTGACATGGTTGGTTTGTGGTACAGGCGGGGAAGAGGGTGAGAGGGATGTAGATATCGGCGACGACGTGGGCGCGACGAAATTCGCGCCGGTAGTGATCGACAACGGGAGAGAATCGAGCAGCTCGGGGAGTGACAGCAGCGACTCGGGGAGCTCGGACAGTGGTAAGTGCGGAGAGGGGAGGTTGCAGTTGGTGGCGGAGGGGGTGGGAGGAGACGGTTTTTGAAGGGGTTGGGGGTTGGTGGTTGGATGTGTAGATTCGGATTCCGGGAGCTCGTCGGGGAGTGAATCGGATGCCGAGGATGGGCAGACTGGTGGTGGTGGTGGTGGTGGTGGTGGGGGTGGAGGTGGAGGCAAAGCATCACATGACAAGGTGTGAATGATGGGGTTAGGGCTGGAGTGAGGGTTATGAAGGCTGGTTAGTTTCTCGTGGGGATGCTCGGCGCGGTGATGAAATTTGGTTGGCTTAGTCGTGGTTCCTTGCTTGGCAGCCGTTGTACTTTTCGTCGCAGCAGGCTGCGTGCCTGGGGAAG